GCGGAGGCCAGGGCGCCACTCGTGCGCGACATGCGCATGCGCGCCTTCCAGCTTCCAAGGGGAACTGGCAGCAGGGTCGTGGGGTCACTCGGGGTTTTTCCAACCACTTCCTTCCATTTGCTTAAGAATGTTGTTATTTTCCCCTGTTGGTTTCAAAGGGAATCTATCACTACTGGAAACATTTTGATGTTTCCCAGAGGGCGAAAGCAATACAACGGAATACCCTTCTTTAATGCGGGGTTAGTCTTTGGGAGGCCGTTTCCGTTGTGTCACTCTGCAAGGAGCATGCTTTTCATTCTCAATCCCCTAATTCGGTTGGACTTAAACCCAGGATTCGGCGTTTTTTGGGGGTATCAACCAGGGAGGTGAGTCTTTTGTGTCAAGAAATGGAGGCCATTTCATGGCTGGCGTCTGAAAAGGTGGTCGAAACAGAATCTCTTGGAATCAATCCATGGGAGTGACTGCTTTGGCCTGCAGATGCAAAGGGGCGATTTTTCTGAAGAATGCGAGAAGCGAACAGGCCTGGTCCTTTTCAAGCGCGGAACATGTGATTTGTTTTTAAGCTGCAGGCGACTCCTTGTCCGCGGCGCAGGATGTGCTGAAGTTGACGTTGCAGCGCGTGCCGGGCACCCAATCTGGCCTTCCGCGGCGGGAAATGGCGATGAGTTCCAAGAGTTTGAATCCCCACCAAATTCTGCACCAAAGGGTCTGCGACCCCATTAAAATTTACACACACACACACACCAACTGTGTTTTAGGCTGCTTTCTGCGATACCAAAAGGGAACCCTCTGAAGTGACCAAGTAGGCATAAGATGGTTCTCTTTGGTATAAAGGGCAGTTTCCCGCCGGGAGTATACTCGTGGATATAGCTGGGGCAACTGGCGTTTGTCCCTTACCTCACATGGCTTGCGCATCCAAGTGGAGTGTGGGGTTTTTTGAGCTATTCCACCGATTCTGGGGGAAAGCAAAACAAATCCGATGTAGGTCCGGTAGACTTGCTTCAGGAAGTGGAAGTGGCCTAGGTCCTCACCAAGTCTCGTTTTGGGGTCCACCCAACTTCCGGAGGTCCTGCCCCCTGTCCCTAAATGAGACCACGCAAGCCTTCGGCCAGGCCTCACTGCCTTATTGAAGGCAGCGCGGCAAAACCCGAGGGTTTGTTGTGTTTCTCGGCGGTTCCCTTGGGTTTGGAGGAACATACAGTTCTTGGAGCTTGGCTGTCAAGTTGAACCGATAACCTAATCAAGGGCATGTCCAGGCATGAGTATGGGTTCTAGCTTGAATGCCACCAATGAAAGCTTATGAGGCTTGATACATACATATTGTATATGTATATATATATATATACTCTGGTGGTATGTATGACCTCCATACCTCCAGACCCCATAGCTGAACATGCCCTTGAAACACTTCAACCCCCCAGGTGGGTGTCTATGTTTCTGTTGCAACACCTCGCTTTGGTTCGCCGAGGACGAATCGCTCTGCCTCAAAGGCGAGCATTTATTCATCTGAGCCGGCCGCTCAGAGCTTCTGAGTTCAGTACCTTTCTCTTCTTGCGGCCTGCCTTTTGACTGGGGTAGACTTCGGATACATTTTACATTTTACAAGTGACTCAAAGGGAAGCAAACACTAGAATATACATTCTGTAACCGGGCCTAAGTCTAATCAAGTTGAGGGTACCTGTTTCTGGTGTAGGAAAACCAAGGAGAGCCCACCCCTCTGGAGGCGTCCCTCAAAAAGACATCCGTGAAGCTGTCCTCAATGGTCAAACAAGGTTTTTTTCGTACCGTCACAACTGGGTTAATTGGGTGCGCCAAGTTTGCAACCACCCCAGCGTCATGACCCCTATGCAGATAAAGGGGCCCTGCAATGCAGAACCCCGACCAATTCCTCAAGGGAGCTCAACAGGAACCCTTTCTGAGGGCCCAAAAATAGTCGGGACCCTTAGGGCAGAGATGCGTTAAACCCTAACGAAGCCGCGTAGAACATGATTGGTTTTCCCCTTGTTTTTCCCCGGGGCTTCAAAGCCCGAGGGGTGCAACTCAGAATCTCAAGCCGGGAATCAACAAGTCAACCTGCTCTTTCAAGACCCAGTTTAGACTTTGCCCTTTGCGGTCAACCACACATCCTTGGGCTATCCTGGATTTCCCTTTTCCATGTGGTTAATTATCCTTTCTGCATCCAGTATTTGGTCCTTTGTGCCGATTGCTGCGCCTGCAGGACCACTTGGTTGTTTTGGATTCTTGCCATGTTCAAGTCTAATTGACTTCATGATGTTGTTCAGACACATTTGGCGGATTTCTCCTTTACTTCTATTCACAACGTACCTCAACCCTTCGCCTTTCCTCTGAGGGTCTGAACTCTGGGCCGGTGTCCGCACTCGCGCTCGACAGGCGGTGAGAAAAGATGCTCTAAATCTTGGCAAGGCCAAAAGTGTTGCACCGAATCACTCTTGTAGGGGCACGGTTAGGCCGACCCCTCCTCTAAACATACAGGTTGACAGTGCCACAAGTTGGACACTGTAGATTTCACGATGGTTTGAGGGTCTGGCAATACTGAGGATGCTTAAATCCACTTCGCAGTAATGGATCAATTTCCATGAACATGGGGATAACCCACAAGATCCCCTGCCGCATTTCCGGAGCCGGATGGGGTGAACAACCGGCCCAGGGAGATGACGCTCCCGGGGGAGACTGGCGCCTGAAGGGCTGGGATTAGAGAAGGGTTGGGCGAACGAAATCGCTGGACATTTCTCCGGAAACAAACTCGCTACCACGGAAGTGGCTGCTGTTTTATCCCCAAAGGAAAGTGCTCAATGTGAGACTTTTAGCAAGCCCAACCCTGGAAATAGCTCAAAGCCTAAGGCATTGGGCAAATGAGACGGTGATGAGTGGCGTGTCAACTGAAGTTGAAAGGCCCTGAGTATGTCTCAAAATATGGAGATCTCCCCCCCGAACGAATGGTTTGTGGTTCGCTCTGGTTTCCCTTTCCACCCAGAAAAGCATACCCTCAAAAAGACTCAAAAAGCACTCATCATCCCCCTTTTAGATGAGCGGTCAAATGTGACTGTCAGCTGTGGTCATAATGACCCCGGACTAACCAACTCGTCCCACTAGGGGTGTTCCCTCCAAAAGTGATGATCCCACGAAAAGGGGGCACGCCCAATCAATCAAGCGGGGAGCGGGGGCTTACATGTGGCATTTTTCACAAATCGGCCCATGTCGGAGGACACAGCTCCGCGGCCTAAGCCCCACAAAAGGCTTACCCCGAACCCGGACATCGTGGGTCTACTGTATATTTTGAAGATTAGAAGATTCGGGTTTTCATGGTGTCGACCTAAAATTCATGGGTATTTGGAGTGGAACCCCGGCTTGGCTTAAATTGGCGGCCGAAGATTCGACCTGTGGAACCGCCACCTATGGAACCATCACCCTGAAGAGTTGGTGTGCCCCTTCTGACCTCCACAGTTGGCCGAATATTCTGTACCCATATTTGATTTTCGGAAGGACATTGAATGGGAAGCGACTCGAGACATGCTTTCTTACCTGGGTTCCCGGACTTTATACTTTTGGGGAGCATCGGACCTTTTTTTGGCAAATCCATTCAGGAAGCGGAGGAACAGACTTGAAAGAACATGACATGTGTTCTAATTTGTCCAGGTTTCTTCGCAGTTAAAATTGGCGTCTTAACTGGGCTAGCCGCCTAGCCCCAGGACTCTGTCGGAAGTGATACTCCCAAACCTCCTCCAGTGCCCTTTTTCCTTTTTTGATGGGTGCCCTGCAAAGTCAACTGCACCAACAAACGGCTCACCTTTCCCCATGGCTGGGTGTCTGGAACCATGGTTGACCCCAAACGAGCTTGGATGATGCAGTCAAAACCCGCCCGGATCCATGCATGCATTGCATGTGACCGCGGCTCACTTCATACCTTTTCGCGCCTTTTCCTCGCTTGCCCAAACTGCATCTTGTCCAATTTGGTCATTGACTTAAAGTTGAGGCACCCCAAAGCCCACTTCTTCCGTGGCACTCGGATTTCTTTTGAAACTAATTTACACGTCAAAGATTTCTGAAGCATGGAGCGGAATCAAAATATACACTTTGGCTGAGATGTTGGGCAAGGGAGGGAGGCGAACAAGTGGGGGCCTGTCATGGTCGCCAGATCCGTTTGCTTTATGTTACAGCTGGACCACCCCTTTAGGGGGTGGCATCCTCTGATTCCAAGTGATGCGGATCGTGTGGCAGAAAGGTGCCGCCGGTGTATCTGAAGGTACTGAGTTGTTCAGTGGCACCCTTTTTCTCTTTTCCCTTTTTTTCCAGGGTGACTGAACAGCTGAGGGTAGATCCCCAAACATGTTGCCGAAAAGTGCCGCACAAACACACCCTTCACAACCTCTAGTTCGTCCGGGCTGTAACTTATTCCTTAGACTCACGGCTACTGCCCGGGTATACAAGAGAGCCATTTGAGGGCCCCTTTTCCTTTTCCCTAAGAGGGGTCGACCCCCTCAGAGTCAGGCTAAGCGTCTGGGAGGGTATGAAGCTCGTCGCGTTGCCAATCGTGGTCATGGAACAAAAGGATTTGAGGCCATTGGCATGGCTTAGGGCTCCCGTTGAGCACGCCCCCTGAGCCATCGCTGTCACAGAGGTTCCTTTTTGGCCCATAGGAGACTTGAACATTTGTTGGCCCAGTCAAAGATTGCATTCCTTTTGGTGGAATGATGCTTCACAGGGATGCACAAGGAATCCTGAACAAGCTGCGTAGCTCTTTCTGGGTTGCTTTCTGGTATTCCCAATGACATTTGCTGATGCCATGCACTTGTGAAGTGCCACTGTTCAGCTTGTTTGGCGATGCAGCCACGGTGCTGGTCGCGGTGCTCCCATGCTATTCGGGGTCTGCTGGTGTGATTTCTTCGGGGGAAGGACCCCCTTCAGTGGCTGGTAGAACTCAGCAGGTCTATTTCGGGTTTCCCCTTGAAGACACACCCGACATGGCAACCCTGTGTGCCAACCAGGGCTCAGGGAGCAACAGTTTTGGCCACACCTGGTCATGACCCTGCGACCCAATGCAGAGCCCATGAGAATTGGGCCCCAATGAAGAGCCGTCCCAATCGAAACTCTTAGAGATAGACTTGACATCTTCTGGTGAGCATGCGAAGGAGCTTGTGCGTTTGGAATCTCTGCCGGTTTGGCTCCAGCCTTTGCCAGACAGTTCCTTTCCCCCTCGTGTCCACACAAAGATACCACTCCCCTTCGTATTGCCCTTCTGGGGCTTCCAAGTAGGCGGCCTGGTAATTAATCATCACATCCATCTATCTTCCCTGCTTTGCTTTTGCCGAATCCACACCGATTGGTCCACAAAGGGTAGATTTGAGTTTGGGCGCAGACTCTGAGTTTCCCCTTTCGATGTTGCTACGATCTGTCCCAAGTGTTTCTTGGATCCCCACAGTCGCGTTTCTTCGGCTTCAGCCTTGCGGATCGGATCGATGGCAGTTCTCACGCTGAAGCCTTCGGAGGATGCCCTGGAGTATTTCAACGAGGCACGCGGCCGGACCTGGCGTCGAACGTTTCCGGGCGTGTTTTTTTTGGGGGGGAGAACCCCTTGGCTTATGGATTTTAACGGGAAGCCAACAGGCAACCATTCATGTCTACCGTATGATGTTTTCTTTTAGATTTTCTTTGTGTGGGGGGCCGATTCCAATTTTGAGACGGCCAATGGTTTGGATCTTTAACCTTTAGCCTTGTGGGAAATGATTTGACGAAGCTGCAGATTGAAGTTAGCGCTTTTGGGCAGGTGGGTTTTTGCCACAATAATTTGAGAATTGCCTGTGCCCACTGGCCTCAGATTAAGTTAGGGTACCCCAACAATGGGTGGCATCGTCTTGGTTTCCCTCCAGACTACCCCCAAAAGAGGAAACCCCTGCGCAGATTGGCGCCATCCTCCTAATCTGGGTGTCATCATTCCTCTTATCAACAGAGAGGGAATTTATTCGATGTTGATGTAGAGCCTAGCATAAATTATCTATTGTTTTGTCCTAAGGTTAATCCAGATCCCACTAGGTTGCACCCCTATTCATCAATGGCAGACTGTTCGCCTATGGGCCTATGGGGGACATAACCCTAGAGAAAGTTGAAGTGACAACCCTTGGATGCTCAACCAATTCAGTAAGCAGGACACAAGCATGGATACAACTGGGCTAACTGGGTCTAGTCCCCGTATGACCTACTTCCCCTTTTCCTGTTTGTGGTAAGTGAGACATTGTGCAAAAGTCCGATTCGGATCATCCAACCTTTGGGCCCTTGCAAGGCTATTGTCCATGTGGGGGTTGATCAATCCTTTCCATAGGGTGACCAAGGACACCACCAAAAACGATGGGAGCAACAAATGGAAACCGTTATGGTCATTTTAGGGGCCAGGAATATAACCCCGTGAATCATAGTCCCTTGAACTAGCCTCGTCGCAAGAGTTTTGGTCAATTGCTTCATACCCGAGGGGTCATATCGTTTCATCCAGGGAGTACCCTCCCAAGTCGGTGGACATTATGTACCCACCTAAATGATGTCCACCAGAGGGTCCCCAGGTAAACATCACACCCGTTTAGCGTGATTTGAGTTTCGAGTCTTCCTTGGGGCATCCAAATAATCACGAATTAAGGCCCCATTTCAGTGCAGAAACCTGCCGACTTGCTAGGCCACTCAGGAATCGGATCCCCAGGAACACAGAAACAAGAATATCCTCAACAGGTGACACAGGTAACACAGGTGACACACACACACATGGCACTTGAGCTACAGGGGGAACTGAAGCTCTTGTCCAACTACCGGCAGTTGGACACCTACAACCATAGTTACCACCTGCCAGTTGAAGTTTCAGTCTCAAACCCCCTCAAATGGCACAAACAACATAATACCTCAAGGTACAATGTGAGTGCGGATTCCTTTTGATTTTCGCTTTCAGGAATTCTACTCAATCAGTAGAACATTAGGGCCCCAACCCCAGAATGGCTTTAATCCTTCTTAGAACCCCTTCTTCAGAGCTGGGGCGAGGGGTTGGACAGAAACATCCAGTCCCGAGGAATCAAAAAGCAGGCCCAGGGTGTTTTGGCGTAAACCGGGCATTTGCCCGACCCTTACCCCTGCGAGTTTGGGAGTCTGACAAAACCCGGCCTGCAGATCCCACTGTGGAGAACCATCGAATCCGACTAATTGAGTTCGGACGCTCCAAAACGGTCCCATTTGTGGTATACCCCAAAAACAATCGAATCGGAATCGAAGCGGACTTGAGTTCCACCTTTTCAACTGGTGCAGGTTTGTCCATCCACAGTAGCAAGGATTCAAAAGAAGTTCCGAAAAGCCAACACCTCACCAAGGAGCTCAATTCAAACTGGTGCAATGTTTTTTAAAGCAAGGCACGGAGAATAGGGAATCTCGGGAAGGGCATTTACAGTGCGAGTGGTCACGATTTTGCCTTGCCAGGCCGGGTTGACCGACGGTTTGCCTGTGGCGCTGCCCACGCGCAAGCGGGTGAATGCCATGCTGAGAGGCAGCGCCTTGGAGAGGCGCCCGTTCGGCTCGCCTCTTTCGAGGGTGCCACGTTTTGGTAGGGCTCGTCTTCTCTCCTCACTTCCTGGGTATCTGGACTTTGTACTTAAGGGTATGACCATTTGAGTCGCACACCTCTTGTTCTGGCCAATCCACTCAATAGGAAGCCAAATAAGAGAAGACCCACCCAGATGCCAAGGACATGTTCAAGGAAAACCACTGCTGGGTTGAATACGCTGTGGTTACCATGGAACCAGAGGGTCCCTTTCGAAACATGGTCTCCCCTGGGTTCCATGTTAGTGGACGGGAGGGTATCTTTGCTTTATGGGGCAATTCATCGCTGTGGGGTCGGATGCTTCACCGAGCACCTGTAAACATGGATATGGATGGTGTTGTGCAGCCTTCTGTAAGTCCAACAAGGGTGTCTACCATTTTGATGCCTTAAGGGGTTGGTTGTTGGGGATGAGCAACTCACTGACATCCTCAGATATTGCTGTACCAAACATGTGTTGCATTGAGAAGTATTATAGCTATTTGATTGATAGTTCTGTTTTTTGTGCTTGCTTGAAACGGATGTTAAAGAAATGGTTGCAAAGCTCCAATCAAGCCCAACTGGGCCTACTTTTGGTTGGGACTGCCCACTTTCAATTTGATCCAAAAAGCCGCCTGGCTTCCACATAGCTGCCCAAAGCAATCCAAAGGAAGCCACTCGATAGTGCGGGGGGGTCCTGGTATACTCCCATAAGCATCATTGAACCCTCCATTGAAGTCGAAGCAGACCTCCATTGCAAGGGTTTCGTTGCCTCAAAGACGCCCCTTTCGAGGACCCGTTTGATGCTTGAGGGCTGAGTTTTGATTCTGGCTCATGGAGTTGACAGCGCAGGCTACATGTCATCGGCAATTGCCCGCCCTCCTATGCCGAGGCAGGGAGAGGAGCGCGATTGGTTCTTCGGATGTTTCGGTTTTACGCACGGGCACTTCCCAAGTTCAGCCTCACTTGAGTTCCTGGACTTACTTTTTGCGCTTGGGCCATTTTAGCGGTAAGCAAGCTTAAACTGTTTTTGGCCAATGCAAATGATAAGCAAATCAAGATGTACCCCATCAACAGAGCGAAGGTTCCAGAAGAGAGGGATTCCTCAAGCGACGGTGGGGGGTTCCATGTTACTCAGGAGGTTTCATGGCAAGGGCGGAAGGTGAGAGGACGCCATACGGCTTGGATGACCCACCTACTGTGCCATTGGGGTTTGTCAGGTTGCTCAGATGGTCTCCCTAAATGTGAACTCTTGTATATAGTGGTTGTACAATTTCCAGGTAAAGAGTCCACTCATGGCCACTCGACCATCCAACCAATCCGGGGTGTTTGGACATGGGTTCCATGCGCCGGGCGTGGTGTTTGGAGGTATTTGTTGTTCCCATTCGGCCGACTCGATGGGAGTAGAACTCTTGACCATGGCACTGAAGAATGAGCCAGAAGGGCATTTCATCGCTGCAGCCCCCCTCCCCCGTTTTTTTTGTTTGTTTTTAACACATGCTCTCACGGAAGGCTGGGTATTTGGGGCCCTGTCGCAGAGCTGCACCTGACCCAATCTAGAGCTACATGGCTCAAAGCCCTGGTTTGCTTATTGACTCCCCTCAGGTTTTGGCGGGGAAAGAAATGAGGGACCCTTTCAAAGAGGGGTCGTTCCATGTTTGGTCAATTAGTCAAGATTCCAGACGCACCCTTGCTTCCTAGTCAAAGGGTAGGCAGAGGTTGCCAGAAATTCAACCCTAGTAAGTCAGAATAACAATGATCACAAGAGTTTCCTTTGGTTATCACCAACTTGCTACGGTTGATCCAATGAGGATTCCCATGAAGGAACGCATGGGGTTAGTTTCCTGTGGTCATGACCTACGTGGACATCCCTCCATAGGTCCTTTGGGTTCCATGGGCCGGTGCAGGTGACAGTCGAAAAAGTGGCCATCGCTGCTGTCGGGAGCGCTCAGATCAGCTTGTTCCAAATTTGCTTTTGGGTTTTGGGGTTTGTCCCAACGGCCATGAGGGTAACCTTGAGGATGGAGGCACCTTGACTCGAAAGTAGGGACCGCAGGGTCTTAGGTGAGTTTTGGTGCTGGTTTCCAGTGCGTCCTTTTGTTCACTGAAAGGATGGCGGGCAGCAACCTGAAACAGCTGCTGTTTGGACAGCATCTGGTTTTGGATTGGTGTTGAACTTGACACAGCAGTCGTTGGGGCATGGGGCATGGCCCTTTGGCTCAGATGCTTGTTTGGGTTTTTCTTTGGAGGGGTTCAGGTTCCAAGAAACCACTGGAGCTTGGTTGGTGATGTGCTTTCATTTTCTTGTTTGTTTTCTAGGGATAAGGGACATGCGGAGCCTACCCCGCACAGGTTCTCAGCCTTTGGGTTTTCTCAATGGCGGTTGGGGAAATCCACGAGATGGTTAGAAAAGAAACGCATCGGATAATGACATTCGGTAGACAGGGCCTATTTCCCACCTGGATGTTTAACCCACTCAGGCATATGGCAACGAGCCCCAGTAGCCATTGCTATAACCTTGGCTTAGCATCCAAACCCCGGACACTCACAGACTGATGAAAACACTGGAAACGCCCTACAAAGGTTCTCTCAAAGCATCTCAAAGCCCTTCGCTGAACCTCTGGAAACCTTTGGTTTCCTCCTTCAACCCCCAAACCTCGTATACATCCTTTATACCATGGGTGGATGTGCGCTTGTGGGTTCTCGGACCCTCACCCTTAACATCAACTCACAAGGGATCCCACTTCCTGTGGTTGGTGTCATTTCCAGGGTTTCTGAAAGCCAGCAGCTCCAGAAGGCCATTTACAGAAGCACATGGCAGCAAGGCACGCAGCACAGGACTTTGCCAAGGGAAGGTTGTTCGCAGACATCACATGAGAAGCCAGCAAAGCAAAGGGAACAACCGCAATTTGGAAGTGATGCTGAGAACCAATAGGAAACCATAAGGAAAAACCAAGCGACCACCAAGGGAAAACCTCTGGAAAATACAATGAAATTTGAAAATAACACGTATTTTCCTGGACCCCCTCTCCCGGGCGATTCGGTTGCTCAGGTCATGGCCGGCTGCGTGCCAGAGATGTTCCGCCTGGTGCTGGCAGCAACTAAGGCAGGGTTGTTCAAGGGTTTCCTCGAGAGGCTGAACCAGAGGCTGAACCAAACCCGGCTGGCTGATGTTGAACCACCAATTTCAACCACAAATGCTCAATCAACAATTGGATTCAACCTTGAAGCGCTTCCATTTGTTCGTGATGTTGATCCATTTCTTGCTGGATTTCAGGGAATGACCCCTATATAAAACCATCCCCTATGGTTTTCTTCAAGAGAATCCCCAAACGATTAATTTGCAACACCAGGCCATGCTGCGCCCGGAGTTCGGGCTCCACGGGGTGCATGCCACTACCATGGGCGGGGGCCCCGAGTGATCCATGGCGCGATGCCGAGGGCGTCGAACCGCCCAGCGCCCAGTGGCCCGTTGCACATCTTAGCAGGGTGTTGTTTTGTTACCTTCGAGGGGACCCCAGCCGAATGTTGGAATGTTGCGGGTTCTCCAGGCATTTGTCTGGGCGAATGAGTTCTCGAGTTCACCGAGCAAATCATCCGTGATAGAGACCCCGGTTTGAACTGCTTTCATTTCCGTTGCGCAATACAACAAAAAGTTAGCTTTTCCCACAAACGCCTGCCTGCCGGGCTTGTTTTTTTTTCTTTTTCTGGCCAGAACAGGTTCCAACATACCAAGCCACAAGAAACGCCGTGTATTCGGAGGTTGTGGCGCAAACATAGAACCACTCTACCTGAGTTCATGGACTTTAGTCGCTTGGGTTTGGACATCTTCGCACTTCGCACCATTTTAGCGGCACCCTAAAGGTCATGAACAGCTCCAATGCAGGCCGCGGGCCTCCAATGGAGGACCAATTCCTCCAAAACACTTGGGCTCAGCACGTTTTGAGGGCCCAAAAACAATCGAATCGGACCCCAACTGGTTGGACCATGGTGGCAAACGAAAAGTTTACGCTTCTTTGGCTCGCAGGAAGCATAATGTTTTTGCCCGGGGTTGGATCAAGTGGTGTTTTCACCTCAAGAGAAGAGCTGTCCAACACCTCATGTCGCCTCCATGTCTCAGGCGCCACACCGGTGGTGGTGGTCAACGGCCCCTGCCGCGACTTGGCCATGGACTTGTGACCTGTTGAACATACCCCGTTTTCTAAAGTACTTCCTGAGTTCCTGGATTTGTTTTTTTGAGAAGGCCAAGTTAGTTGTAAATATACAGTTCAACTTAGCTGTACACAGAAAGTTTGGACTTATCCGGCCATTCCACTCAGGGAGTGAGTAACCGGCTTGGATGTTCAAGCCACTTAGTAGGTTACACCGTGGACACTGGGGAGAATAAGGGTTAGCATGTGCTTAATAGGTGGGTTCAGCATCCAAGTGTTGGTTCTCAGTAGGAATCAAGGGGTTTTGCGCAATGAGCCTAAGGTTTTTTCCCGTAAGGGATGCTTCGGTTTGGGGTCATTCACTCATTCTTTGCTGAGAACTAGCAAGCATACCAGGGGAAGGAGCGCTTAGAAGCTGTGCGTGGGGCCATATCTTCACTTGGCTGTGGCTCAAAAATCCTGTACCAAAATGGAACCCGGTAAGTGGAAACATGGACCAAAACCTGCGTAACCCCCTTGTTTAATTTTGAGCCACACCCACTTGGCTTTTCAACTGTACGTTCCTTTTGTCTAAAATCCGCTCATATTTTCTTGGAGGGGATCACATTTGGAGATCTCCAATACTTCCATTTCCTTTTTGTGTGGACGAAATCCATTTCGCACTTTTTGGAATCCATGTTTCAAGCCATTGTTTGGTATTTTCAGGGGAGTCATCATTCCAGGGTTTCTTAGGTGGTTCAGGATTTCGTCCATCTGCAGTATCTCAAGGGTGTTTTGCGATCTGCCCTAAGTTTGTTTCACAGGAATATACTTTCTGTGCGCGTTTCCAGCAGGCTCACTAGTGCCCTTGATGGGAACTTGCGGGCAAATGACTCCAGGAACGGAGTAGAGTCGGAAACCAGAAAGGTGTTGGAGGGGCCACATTGACGCGTTTAAAGCAAATCGACTGGAGTGAGTTTCACGTCATTTGGTGATGAAGGCAACCAGAGTCAAAATGGAAAATGGTCCAAACGAGCACTCAGTCAGCTTCCTCGTCACTGTGGTGCATTTTGCTTGGATGTTAGGACTTTTACTTTTGGCCAACTACTGGGGTTTCCATTAAACCACTAAAAGTTAAACTTTTAGCAGGGGAGCAGAACGCAACCGAGGTCACTGGAAAGAGTATAGGGTCCTGGACCATATGAAATACGTCCAACGCTTTAGGCCTCGCGGCGGGTGTGAACTGCCAGCTGGGTGTCTGCGGCAGCGGGCATCGGAGCCACTGCATCGGCCGGGCGTTGAAGCTGCTGCTGCAGAGACTTGAATGGTTTTATTGTTGACCCCATGTGAATCAACCCCAAAATTGTGTAATGTTGACCCCTATACTCATTATCCCCAGTTTCTTGGGTGTGTTTTCGGGGTTTTGTGAAGTCAGAAGACGTATGGAGGGGCCCCCACCCCCCGAACTCAATATACACTGGGGTTGATTCGTGTGGGGTTGATTCGTGTGGGGTCAGCGTGTCTCGAGTCTCAGTCCAAAGCCCACCTTTTAGCCATCTCCACCTTTGGGTTGTCCAGAGTTGTTTCCAGTAGTCGGGTGGCGCCTTCGCCAACGACTGGCTCCGAGGAATGTGGGCCGCGCCCGGCTGGGTGGTACGGAGTCCACCACCCTCGGCACCCCCATGAAGTTCGGCCTGTGCTGGGGGCCCAGTTGTTAGGCGACCCTCACGCTGCCGGGCGATTTTGTTTGTTTGTTTGTTTGGCTTGTTTGTTTGGTTTGTTTGTTTGTTTGTTTGTTGGTTTGTTTGCTTGTTTGCTTGCTTGTTTGTTTGTTTGTTTGTTTGTTTCCCTATGAGTCTTGACTGTTTTGGGACATTCCATCACTGTGAGCGATTATTGTCCTTCTGCAGCCACAATCAAAACCGATTCGGGTAGAAGGCTTGAGGGTCCCAAGCAAAGTGGCGAGGCCTGGTCATGGTTTACCATGCTTATGGTTGGGGCAGATCCTTGACCGGGTTTGCGCCCAATTCTTAGTTGGTGCAAGGGTGCGAACTAAATGAACCACGCAAATGACATACATGGCGTGCCAATTCTATTGGTGTGATGTTAGGAGAATACACCCCAGGTTGTTTAAATATTTGGATCAGAGCGATTGACTTCCCTTTGCGCCCAACATCAGTTGTGGAAATGGGGGTTTACTCATCAACAAGCTACTGGGGTCAAGGGTTCTATGTGAAAGTTTCACCCCACAGAATTCGCGGCTTGAGACCAGGGCTGACCATTTTTTTGCAAGCAACCTGAGCCCAAGAAGACTCAAACAACGTTTAAGCATGTTTAAGCAACGGCTAAACCAGTTGCAACCAGACATTTCGGCGTGTTTCCGGCTTCCTCTTCTCGGGCATGGTTTCCCGAAAGACCAACTAATACAGACCCCGTGCTCATGAACCCCTGGTTGATTTTGAGCTTCCACAATGTCAATTTCGGATGAATCGGAGGACCCTAGTACCCTAGTCAAAGGAACCCCCAAAGGCGGAACATGTCCGGACCCCAAGGGTCAAGACGCCTCCAATGCAAACGCCTTTCAATGGAGAACCCAAAGCGACCACAGTCCCTTGTTTGAGTGAGGACCCCAGGCGAATCAAGCCCTTGGGGGACTAAACATGGAACCCTTCCGAATTGATTCGAACTCAAGATTATGTGCACCTTGGAGTTTGAAACCTCAACACCTGGGTTTGTCTCCAGAACGGATTCTTCACTTTCGGGAGAAACATCTCGTAATCCGCAAGGTTGATGAATGAAGGGTCGATATATATGCCGTCCCGCCACATCTCAAGTTTTCAAGAGATGCCACATGAGTCGCTCCCCTCCCTACGCTGGATCTCTTTTGTGCCCAAAACCCCCCAATCAAATATAGGATGGGTTAATTAATCAATGTGTGTATTTGTTGTTTGGTGGTACCCCGTTTTTGTAGGTTTACAGGGAAGCCAACAGGACCATCACCGTTTTGGGGGGGGGGGCTTGTAGAAAGACGCACCAAAATCTGGAAATTCCATTGGGAGACGCTGAGGTTTCGGCGAATGGGAGGAGCGCAGCAAGTGGCAGCCCTTAGCGCTTGAAGAGAAGGAGAAATCGGGAGGGGGGAGCTTGGAGGCCAAGGTTCGCCGCGAACTTCTGGGACCTGTGAGTCTACAGACGGGCTTTTTCTTTCTTTCCGTTTGGTGCCAGGAACCCAAGGAAACCAGCAGAAAGGAAGAGCAGCTTTTGCCACCTGGTAGACTTTACCAGAAGCAACTTTGAGAACTCAAAACTTTTCAGCAGGTTCACAAGTCATATAGCCAAACGGCACAGGGTATCTGGAGAACGAAATCTGGAGAACCATTGCTCACAGTCACTGTTCGGGTTTGGACAATGTTCGCGGTAATGTTGACCCCTGAATAAACCCTCATTGGCACAAGCACGAATCCTTTTGAGTGGGGCTTCCTTCCCTTTTCCTCCAGGGGAACCTCACTAAAATCATAACTGTGGGTGCATTAATCAGGGGTTAAAATTAAGTAACAAAGTAGTTTGGGCATATGTTTGACCAATTCACTCAAGTGAGCCGAAAGTTCCACTCAAGGGCTCGAATTGTCATGGATCCTTTGCCCTTTGGATCTCCACAAGTGAACCTCGATTCATTGGAACCCACCAGCCTGTTTAGCATCCCAGCCCCACCCAACGACCTCATTTTGGACATGAAAATGTCTCAAGGTCACCGAAGACATGCCCATGAGTTGGATGGGTTCTTTTTCCTCGACTCCTCGATGGTGCGTGTTCTTTCCTTTCTCCGGGTCTTGCTTCAAATTACAGAAATGTTGGTGCCGTCCCGAAGAAGCTCTTCTAAGGCTCTAGGAGCCTTCCCTGGGAGAAGGGGACAAGTTTTCTTCTTCTTATGACCCTTGGGTGTGCAAACTTAGGTGATAACCCTATTATATCCACACCCTTTGGGTCCGATTCGACTGTTTTGGGGGTCCGCAAAAAATAGCCAAGGCCCTCAAATTGGTCGCTATGGGTTCTCCATTGGAGGGTCCAAACGTCATTGGGGTTTGCATTGGGTCACAAGGGGTCATGAACCTAACCCTCACTCCCTGAGTTCCGTTTCGGACTTTAGTCACTTGAAATGGGTTTGGACCATTTCAGGGTCCAACCGAAAGTTTAGGACTGTTGTTTGGCCAATACACTCAATCCGTTCAAATTTAGGCACCTTCGAAGGGTGGCCAACAGATTGTCCAGGACCTTTTTCCGGCCAATCCACTCCTTCGGAAGTGTTTTTTCCTTTTTCAGACCGCCTGGGTGGGGTTTTCTGGGCAATCTTGTTGTCCAGGATGCGGTGACAGTGCTGGCCTGTGCTGGTGGCCCCACTCAGCTCGTGGACTTCTCCTCCACGCCCAAGGAATCCGAATCCGAATCGGATCGAATCGAATCGGATCGAATCGGCCCACGGCCGATGGGTTGTTCAAAGCGAATCGACCTTTTGACCTTTTGACCTTTTAGTGATGTGGGTCCATATCTTAAACCCTAGTGACCATTTGTGACTATTTATCAGGTAACCTTGAATCGCTTTTAAGGGGAACCAAAAGAAGGCGGTTCAAACATTGGGTGTTTTAACATGTCTTGTTCGGGTTCTTTGGGCAACTGAGTAAAACCTAGTCAGGCAACCCCTTGTCACTCATTGGTGGGTTCGAGGCCGGTGGTTTGGTGGTGTTCTGGAGGGGTGTCTCATCTACCAGGAACCTAGTCGCTAAGGGCTCAGTTGTTCAAAGCGGATCGACTTTTTGACCTTCTGGTTTTTCCATGCTGGTCCATATTTTGGCATAGAACGAAAAGGTTAGCCAATTAGTTACAGGTCCTTTGGGTAACTGAGCAAGGCCTAGTATCACTACTTCTCAGGTAACCCCTAATTGGTGGTTTGGATTTGGATTTGAACCCCTGGTTCTTGTAGAGGGAAAATGGGAAACCCCTCCTGGAACATCAAACCACGCTCCAAACCACGACCTGGGAGGAAGCTGAAACCCTAGTCACTATTCAGGCTTGAGTTGGCTTTAAAAAACTGTTTGAGACCAGCTTAGTTGTAAGCAGAAAGTTTGGACTGTTTCCGGCCAATCCACTCAGGAAGTGAGTTAAATGTCGACTAAACATGAAACATGTTTTTCCCGGATCTCCGACATGTTTGTTCATTGCTAAGGTTAACTTGACATGACACAGAATCTAAACCTACTCCACCCCCAACGGCTGCAAATATGTTGCTCAACATCGCCAAAAGGGTGCTGATTATTTGTGGTGTACCCTGGGCTTAGGACCAGGTGGCAAGGGCAAATTCGTTGAAAAGCGGTTTCACAGATTAACACAAACTCAGGAGGCATGTGTGTTTGAAGGCTCAGTACCCTGTTTCAGGCGGTTTCAGGTTGGTTTAAAGAGGAAAACGAGTAAACGCTTTCTTGTTGGTACAGGCTCAGGTCCATGTTGCAAGTGCTTCAGCGAAAGCCATATGCCCATGGGATCACATGAAATCTACAAACAGGTTGTTGGCGTTAACCCACAGCTTCCAGACCTGTGGTGGGGAGTTTTCTCCGGCATTTTGTTCGGAGTTTCCTATACTGTAAACTACAAAACAAAAGTGCTTTGTTTTCCTTTTTTTGCGGTCTCCCCCATCAACCAACGAAAAGTGGCCGGGGTATCCTTGTGGAAGAATTCGCTTGAATCAAACACCAAACAAGTAAAGAGTGCCCTTGCTTACTGGGGGTCTGAGAGAGAATAAATACTCACACGTTTTGAACATATGTTTTACTGGGAGTATGAGCAGCGCCCAAACCACGTATTGGCCATGTTTAGTAGTGGTTCTATCTAATTACCTCTAGGAATACAGCAAGGTGTACACCTTTATAGCCAGGAGGACGGAGGATCTCCCATTGTCGGCGGATGGACAAAGATCCCTACTAAGCGGGGAAGAGAACAGCCTGAGACGGGCGCCTATTACTTTTTCCTCGACGTCCCAATCATTCTCGGTGAAGGGCTGTTTTCACTGTTCTCGTTCAAGGTGAATGCAGAGGCGAACCAAAAGGAATTGACCTGAATCGAGACCTTATATGTCCCTTGAATTGGTTTGAACGGCTTGTTGCTTTTTTCAGGATGATGCTTGAGGGGCATATTGCAACTGGACATATTGTGAGGGTATCGGTTTGAGTAGTCATAAAAAGGGGTTTTGAGGCAAACCAACAGGATACCACTTGTTTTGGCGGGCCGCCCTGCTTTGACACATACCCATAATATGGAGTTTGGTTAATTTGTTGCCCACCAAAAAGGGGGAATCCCTATTTTGAGAACCGCCGCCCCCCATACCAGCAACCCCAGCTGTTAAATGGCCAAGTCGCCTTGTTTTGGCGATGTGACAAGGGGACTGACCACGCTACCACGCTTATAACTTATATCCATTGGCATAGCTTACTTACCTGACGTTGGTGGAACATCCAGCGTTTGTAAAGGAACACCCCTTTGAAGTTCCACCTTATGTTGGGAGGAATTGCAAGCTGTCCTACATTTAGCTTCAAGGCTTTTGCTGTTGCAGCCAGGGTGATTACCGCAACAGTCAGCCTACTGCAATGGGTGTCAAATCCTTAGAACAAAGCACATTGCTTGCGACTCCTTTTGGGGGAGCCTCCTTACAAAAAGGGGGAGGAATTCCACGAAGCCACCGAGGGCCGCGAGCGCCGGGCCGCGAGCGCCAGGAGCTGCTCCAGCGCCTGTCGGCGCTGCTGGCCATGGCCTACGCGCCGCAGATGCCGCTGGTGAACCAGGCGGGTGACGAGCCGTCACCCGCGGGCGGTGGATGGGCGCAATGGGAACCCCGGAAAGCGGAACTGGTTGGCCGGAGTCAGGATGTGGTGACGTACCCTAAGCATCAAAAACATAGATTGAAGTCAGGGATCTGGTTCTGGACCTGCAAGGACTCAATTTTCTGGTCATATTATCCTGGTCGGCCTTTCAGGGATAGCTTACCCCAAGCATGAAGGAACCATGTTTTTGTCATACCCTCCATTGAAGGTTGGCAGTAGGCTCACTTTCTGAGTTCCGTTTCGGACGTTCGGCTTTTCGTTGAGACCCTTCTTGTTGCGGCACAGGTGTGGTTGGCACTCAGGAAGTGAGCGTGGTTAGCGGGGATTCATCACTTTGGGAGGGGAAGACCCCCTATTGATGGGATGGCTTATATAACTTGAATCCCGGTTTTATTGCAGGGTGTGTCTTTTTTGGACTCGATGTGTGGTGGTCTTAAAGGGAAATTTGACATTTTCCAGTTTGGCCACGTGTCTCCATTTCTGGAGAGTTCCATTTAACATGAACTACCTATATCACCACTGTCACTGAGGTTTGGACGTCTCATAGCCATCATTTGGATACCCTGACGGGTGCCAAGGGAGCCCCGAGCAGGCTGTATTTTACAAAAAGGAGGCCCGGGTTGCGGGCAACGTGGTGTAAACGGGCCACTTTCTGTACCAGCGAGATCCCTGGTGCCAATGTAGTTATAGAAACAGCAAAGTTCGGTGTATTTCACCAAGCTGCGCTTTCGGGGGTCCTCAATTGTGTCAAGACTGTTTTGGATCCCCCAAAAGTGGTGGTTTTCCTTTTGCCCGTTCTTTCAACCAAGCTGAAAAGGGCACTCTCAGTCACAACACACACACACACACAATTGGGTACGAGACATGGTTAGCCCAATTCGCGACAAAGGACAGTTGATCTGACGGATCTTTTGGACAGGTCTTGCTGATCATCTCCCCCGAGCACCATGACAGCCTTGTGAAAGGCAGGGAATCGGTCCATGTGAGTTGTTGTCGTTTTTTAGCACACCAAAATTGGGCTGTTACGCCAACAAAGAACACCTCATTGTGATTTTGGATGCTGTTTTTGTTAGGGGGGCTCTTTGGAATGGCATTTGACATCGAAATTCAAGGGGTTTGCCCATTGGGTTCTAGAATTCTTGTCTAAAGCCTGTCAGCTTCCATGATGGGGGGGGGGAGGGGGAAACTGGGGTCTGCTCCAATATGCTATGTTTTAGGGTAGGCCAATATGGAACAGGCTCGGAGCATACGTATGACATTTTCGATGTACCCCTAATGTTGTAGGCCGGGTAGTCAACTGGCCATGGAATGTTGGGCTCAACAAGTCTGTGTCAAATGCAACATCAGAGGACAAAGAGCATCTTGACACGGCTGGCTCCGAAATTCAATTCGCAAGGCAAATCAGGAAGGGCCGGATTTTGCCAGGCTTGCTTGGGGGGAAGTAGCATGGTTTTCTTCGCAACCCAGAGGTGGGTTGGAGATATGGCAAAAAATCGCGTGCCGCACTGCACTCACTCGCAAGTAGTCAGAGCCAACGGGAGGGGGGTGCTTGGTATTGTTGAATCATAATCCCTGGTTTTTCTTGGATCATAGCAGCCAAAGAGACCTGCTTTGTTTGGGGGGCGGCTGCCCCTCGGCCCGGTGGGCCCCGAAGTTCCCCAATTTGGTTTTGGAGGGAATCTGAGCCGAGGATCACAGCGAGATGCACGCTTTCCAGGCATCGACGGACCCCCCCCAAAGCAAAAGTCATGAACCAGCTTTTTAGGGATGCAAGTTGGGGTGTGGTTTTTTTGGGTCCAGCCCCAACTCCCCCCCCAACCCCAAAAAGGCAAGAACCAGATGTTTCTGCCTAGGGTTCAACCCCCAGCAAACGAATGCCAATTCAGATGACATCCGTTCGAACGGCCAACAATGAATGGTGGTTACATAGCCTGACCCAAACATGAATTTCATGATGATTCTCTACAGTGTTTAACTTTCTCCAGCCTGAAGGGAATGCTAGAAACCTGAAGCTGCATGTTTAATGGATACATGTTCCTCAAACCTGGTAGGGGAACCCCCAACCTTCAGCAAACTTTCCATGTGACCCTAGTGGAAGAATCACCAATTTCAATAGGGAGCTACTTCACAAGAAATCCCGGAAGTTTCCCTAGGTCCCCAGCTGGACCCCTACCCAGTCTCTCTCGCCAAGGGGGCTTCGACTCCAAGAAGAAGCTTGCGCAGGCCCTCTGGCGCGCCTTGGTTCGCCAACACTGGGGGGGCAGGGTGGCGTGCCATGGATACCAAACCCGCGCACATTAAAAAAAAGCTTGTTGGGCTGTATGTTTGAAAAACAAGGTTTCCCATGTTAAGTACCATCTTTTCCCGGTCATGGGGTTAACATGATACCCTAGGCAAGTGTGTGGTTGGAGTAGGGTAGAGACTGTTTTGCAGCCAAGAGCCCCAAAAAGACACTTTTTCCCAAAGGAAGGTGGTTGCAGAGTCGGTCCGTGATCCCCGAATACAAGTTTCCTCAGATCCAACGTTATTGCCAGCTTTGACAAAAAGTTGGCAAACAAACTTAAAGCTGATGGTAACTTGAAGAGCTCGTCACTGAGCGTGCGCCAAGGTGTTTGTTGCCATGGAACAAAGACACACTCCAGGTAGCGTGTTGTGGATATCTTGCGGCCGAAATGCGAAGCTTCAGATGTTCTCTCTTTTTGGGATGTGCCCAACTCCAGAGCAAGTTCCTGGGCCGATGGTTTCAACTGATCATTTTTTGGAGCGGGGGAATAGTGACCGTGATGAAACCACAAAGGGAATCTGAAAACCCAGAAGACCCAAACGTAATCAAGGCAAACACTGGGCTTGGGTGCAAACCACGGGAAACCCAAACTCGTCTTAGCGTAGGGTATCAGAAGAACATGGGAGGTGTTCGAAACTCATAAGACGGCAACAAGCAGGATTGTTGGTGTTTGATGGTCCAGCCATGTCTTCTGCACATTGAGCAGTATCAGGAGTTAGCCACCGATCGGTTTCAGGCTTTTTGTTGTCCGGCAGTGGGGGAGTCTTAAAATCGGGGGATGGCAACAGTGGATGTTCTTCCAATGCCGCTCCAAAAGGGGTACCCTCAAAGAATCTTTCATCAACTGTCACTCGATGAAGCCCTGGTATGAACTCGTGGTTTAGTGAATTCATTGCAACAGTTGGCACGATTGCCCAGATTGGGCATCGGGTTCATATAGCTTCAGTCTTACGCATGGGATGCTGATGCTTCGGATGCCAACGCAGTGATGCTTCGGATGCCCAAACCTCCAAACCGGGTCCAAACCACGAAATGGGAAACAGAACAAGTAAGACGACGAATGATTTGGACAGTATACATTAATAATACTAACATTAATAGCGATAATAATGCCACTACTTCTAATTTCAATCATCATCACAACAGTGATCCTTGTCATAATTCCATATATATATATACATATATATATATATCAATGATAATAATACTGATACAAATGATGATAATCATTATAGTCATATTCACAATACTAGCGATATCGATGATAATCACGATAGTTAAACTACATACGATTTACATATCAAGAATACGAATCACTATAAGCATCATAATTTCGATGATCATCATGAGAACAGCACGCTACGAGACGTAACAATAATAATGATAATCATAGTACTAACAACAATACTAGACATGAACACAACAGTACTAATATTGACAATCATAATAAGCACGATTTTGCTAAAAATAACGATGATATAATCATGAAACTATACCCGTACTAGACATAACAATGATAGTGGTCATTACAATCACAGCTATAATGCGAATTTATTGATTACAACCATAATACCACAACAATACTAGACATGACGATGATGCTATCATGATAATAATAGTACTAACACCAACGATGATAAATCATGAGCATACACGAAGTACTAGACAGCACAGTTTTAATGATAAGAATTAGGCATTTTAGTCATATTCATACTACCAATAACAATAATGATAGTCCTGATGCTAAAAGCAATACTAGACACAACGAGGACAATGAGGATGGCAATCATTATAAGCATAATGCTAATACCAACAACAAACATGATGGTAAGACCATTCTAGACACACACCAATGATACTAATAGTAACATATGTTAAGCAATTATATAGCAATTGTTCAGTACACTCGGTAGGCCAGGTTCTTCTCAGGCATCTGGTTTATTTAGCGCAGGTCAGACCTGTCGGGCCTTCCTGCCCCACGTTGGGGCGGCGGTGGTGCAAGTGCTGCAGGTCCGAGGAGTCCCTGTCTGGCTGGCCAAGTCTGCAGGGCTCTTGGTGACCATGCGGGGGCCCTGGACGGTGGTTTTGTTTTTGCTGGTTCGATAGCGGGGAAATAGAAATGGAAGGACACTCCTATATGGTTTCCTAAAGGGAAACCCGAGGTGTATTCCCAAGACATTCTCTACTGAGCGCCAGCAAGATTCAGACTTTGGTCCAAGCTCGGGAAGTGGGTGGAGCTTTTGGGGGTGGAACGGGCCTTTGGGCTGGTTGGTGAGTTTTCGGGCGTGGAGTTCCTTGGATGCGAGAGTCTGAAACACACACACAGGGCAACTGCACACCGAGTTGTTGGAACTTAGGTGCCACGGATTTTTTGTTTAGTGGCTTGAAGGCGAGAACTGTCAACCGGGACTTTGTCCACGCCAGGCAACTGGCGGGCGGTTCATTCCAACATTCGTTGTGTTTCTTCCCATTCCAAGTGCAGAATTATGGCCAACAGCCACAGTACCTTTTGCTGGCGGTCCCGCTTTGAGTATCCGTTGTATTGCCTATAGCCAGCGATTCCACCTGCTTGGTTGAAGGCTGGGTGGTGGAAGCCTTAGCACGCCTAAGGTTTCCTAGACACCCCCCTTCAGGTGAATTGGTGATATGTCAATACCTTTCGTTTTTTGGTGGCCAAGGTACAACCCAATATGTGGTCACCTGATAGAGCAGAAAATGATTGACCTAACATTCCTGACTCGGAGTCCCTTAAATAGTCCTTGATGTAGCGGAGCGAGCCAAACAGCACGAGTGATAATTTGGGCCCAAAAGTGTCCAACCCCAAGGTATGAAACCTAAAGCAAAGCACAAAATATACCCTACAGTTAAAAGGCAGCTAAAGCCAAGTGACAAGATAAAAAATAACTAAGCAACCCAAAACAACATACAACAACAATCCAAGCAACAAAAACCACTAAAAGAGAACTAATCCAGCTATAAATGAGTCCAGACCAACTAGAGAACAGCTAAAACACAACTGGTAAGACTAAAGAACAGCTAACACACTACCAAACCAGCCAGACCAGCTAGAAAGCAACTAACAAGCAAGACTAAACCCGACAAGACGCAAAGCAGCTGAAACTAACCTACCTCCCCTCCCCCCTTTCTCCGTTCTTTCGCAAAGGAAACCACGCCGCACCTCTCGTCTTCGAGGTGCGCCCGCGTGATGGCGCTGCTGGGGAAGCCCTTTTTGGCGCTCCCAAAGTTCAGCGGCCCGGAGAGTTTCAACATCGTCGTGGCCGGAGGCGGGTCGGGCGGGTCACTCCGTGCTGTTGGTTTCTCTGCGTGTTGTCTTTGAGTTAGGGAAACCGCCATTTGTTGGGTACTCATTGTACCTTTGGGTCCTAGAGGTGTAGAGCTAGATTTGGAATAGAAATATGCAGTGGACGAACAAAATCGTATGTGTCTATGTGTTTGTTTTGGATTGGTACCCGTTGTTTTGTGTTTTTGTTCTTCTTGGGAAACCAAAGGGCATCAAATAATCTTTGTGATGTAATGATGGTTCTCCGTCCGTTTTTTGAGGTTGGACCCTCCAACAAGGCAACACGGTTTTCCTTTGGTTTCTCTTTAGAAGGTGACCAAAACCCAAGGGTAGTACATTTGTATTTGATATGAGCCTGCCCTTTTAAATGGGTTCCCCCCCAATTTTGACCCCTGCAAAAGGCTACCCCTGTCGTATCCTGTGCGTTTCTGTGTGTTTCCCCAAAAGGACACTCAATTCAATTTGCCCAACAAGATGATGTTCAAAACCGCCAAAGGGGAAATAGAGAGAAGCCTGGGTGTCGCCTCAATGATGTCGTTTGTTTCCCAGTGATTCCAGACAAGCCATTTTAGTAGGTAAGGGGACACCTTCCTGTTCTGTCTCTCTGTCTCCAAGGAGTGCCTGGACAAGTGGTGCTGGCAAAGGTTCCTCCAAGACATGATTTGTTTGTTCATGGTCGGGTGCCTACCTCCTAGGTTGTCCCACTAATGAGTTCTCTTGGAAACATGTTTGCCGTCCCCATATTTGAGCCAGCGATGCCGGTGATGAGAATTGTAGTAGGCAACCAGGGCAAACCATCATGTAAAACAAGGAGGTAAGCATGGAGGTAAGCCATCACATTCGAAACCGCAGCTTTGACGACAGCACTTGGGGTTTTGGACGTCATTCTTTTGGCTACTCAGATGCTCGACTCGCGAATAAGGTCGACTCCTCTCTCTTGTCTCTCTCTTCTCTCACTCTTTTGTCTCTCTCTTCTGTCTTCTGTCTCTCTCTTCTGTCTCTCTCTTCTGTCTCTCTCTTCTGTCTCTCTCTTCTGTCTTTCTCTCTCTTCTGTCGTCCAGTGGATTCGGCTTAAAATCCAAGTTGTTATTCGGTAGGCCCGCAAACATGGGCTGATTTACCTCAAGAACGGCTCCAACCCCTTTTCTGCCACTGGGCTAGGGATTTGTCCTCCAGCGGCACTGTCGCTGTGGTAAGATCTATATTGTTGTTTCCCTCCTGTTCATGGTATGTGAGAGCCAGTTGAAGATGATTTGTGTGCTGACCAAAGCGTTGGCGAAATCCGCTATATTAGCCATCACGCCTATTGTCCTCCGGGATTCATTGACCGATTCAGACGCCACCTCCTTGCCAACGAGCAAGTGAGGTCATTTGGGTGTGGGTCAAGAATTGGTACAGTACCCAGAATGGAACCCTGCTAAATGGAAACAAGGACTGCTTGCTGGTGCTCAGCATGGAATGAGGGGCTTCCTTCAAGGGGCACCCCCAGATTCATTCCCTCGGTCCCTACTGCACCAGCAAGACTGGTCTGGGAGTTTGATTTGGACCCATACTCAGTTGGGACTGTTGGCTTCCAGAAAGGTGAGGTGCCTTTAGTTGCCACACACACATTTTCTGGTGTCTCCTCCAAACAGATTTTAGATGTTAGACATCGTTTTCCGTGCACCACTATTCAAGTTTTGTGGATGCCACTCTCCAGTTTTCTTTTTTCAGGGCAACTACCCATGGCTTGAAGTTTGTTCACTCTGGAATCTTGTGGGATGGTTTGTGTTTTTCCAAGGCTAACCCTGGCTTCTATTTGAAGAATCTGTTTCCTATTTTCCCCTGTTGGGTTTTTAAGGGACCCAATTTCACCACTGGACATATTTTCACATTTTCTCCCAGAGGCGCCTTTGCAACCGGAGGGGCAAGCCCCCACATCGAGAGAGCAGGTGGTGCGGGGAAGTTCTCGGCCTTCTGCCCGGGCTTCGGGGTGGGGAAGAAGGGCATGGCCACCGCCGAGATGTCGCTGCCCTGCACCGAGCCGGCGCCGCTCTCGGCGGGAGCTGACGGACGGGACGGGAACGAGAACACCGGGGAGGGAGGGTTGTTTGTCGAGGGAAGCTGGGTGTTTGGGGGGAGGAAATGGCCCAAGAGGGGCAAGGCTGGGGGTTTCTATGGTATAGTAAAGCAGGATCTCAAATCTGGAGGTCCAGCAAGCCAATCATGACCCTTCCCCGGACCCTTCAATGAAAAACCCGAATCGCAACCAGTTCCTCAGGGCGCTTTGAAGCAACCAGTTAGGGCCCATAAAAATGCGAGACCCTTAGGGCCGGAAGTTTCGCCATTTGGATGTTTAAGGCTCTTAAGAAGTATATTCTATCCATGGGTATACGGGCACGAACCCCAGTTGCTCCCCGGATGGAACCATGGGTATAAGCGGGTATAACCTTTCCATCCCAACTGGTGCAGGATTTTGTCCATGAACAATGAACAGTAGCTAACCAGGTGTTTGACTTCTAGGTTTTACATGATGTGTTGCTTGTCTTACCGTATAATGGAACTGAGACCACTTTGCCATCAACAAGGACCCTCCATTGCAGAGTGCCAGGTGTTCGGTGCCTCATGTTGCGCCAAGCTATGGTGTTTTTTTCGGACCAGTTCGACGCTCAATGCGCGGCACCGCATTGACGAAGAAATCGTGGACGTGTGGCAACGCACCGAGAAACAAACACGAAAAGTTGTTGCCCAAGTTGTGGCCTAAAGCGGTGATCGGGTCACAGGAGCCCATAGTACAACTTTTGTAACCCCTATAGAATTGGTGAGAGGGATATCCATTGGCCAAATTCCCAGCTCCCTTTTAGCCGTCTTTGGGGCCAGAAAAAACCACTCCGCCCCCAAAGGTTGAAATTGGCTCGCCTTCCAAGCCAAGCTCGAGAATCCCCGGATCACTTCCCCCCGAACAGAAGCTTCCCACCGATCGGCATTGTCCATTCGCGGAAGAATATGTGTTATTTTCCCTGCCTGGTTTTAAAGGGAATTGATCACTACTGGAATATCTGTCATATATTCCAGTAGTGATCAATTTCCTTTAAAGCCAGGCGGTATCTTCCTAGTGGTGTCAAGCTAGTGAAAGGTAGGGCCTTTTTTATGAATTTGCAGTTGACATTTTGGTTTTGTGTTTTTAGGAATTTGGATCCATAACCCAACACCCAGGTTTTCTGCCGAACTTGGGAACCCCCGAAACCCTACGGTGGGTTTTGGTTGGAAAACCTCAGGTGGAGCCCCGTCCCGATGCGCTCGATCGAGGCAGGCGCTGCCTTCCAAAACCGGTTGAGCACGGGTAAGGGAGATGATTCCATGGGCCACAGCTGTTGTTAAATTGAGTTACCCCAAAAACTGTTTAGGTTAAAACCGCCGCAAGTTGTTGTCTGGGGGATGGGAAACCAAAGGGGAAGTCTTGAGGTGTTGGGAATGGGTTTCCCTGAAAGGAAACCGAGGGCGTGGTTTATAGCGGTCATTCCCTCATTCCCTGCTGAGCACCAGCAAGCCAATGTCCCCACTTGAGCCACTTGCTCGAAACCCAGGTAAGTGGTTAAGGACAGTCCCAACCAGAAAACTCGGACCATGTTAATACCAGGTTTTGATTGTGCCTCACTTGGGGGCCCCTCCCATGCAAAACCGATAGCGACCAATTCCTCTTTCGGGCCCTCAAAATTTCAAGAACTTCTGAGGACCGAAGATAACAAAGCACCCTCCAACTGGTTCCTCGTGTTCAAAACCAAAAGTGCTGTTCAAAAGGCAGTTGTGGGTGGCTGGTCGTGGTTGTCTTTTGTTTGGTGGCTGTGGCTCCCCACCAAACATGGACTAAACCGTTTTCCTAGCAGGGCCTTTGGGCATCAAATCTGTCAACGTTGGGGGAACATAAAGATTCCTCACTGGAAAGAGAATACCTTCTGCAGTTGATTCCGAAAGACTGAAAGACCTGCTTAAAATCGTAGGGGTCATAGGTGAGTGCAACTCATTTTAGAGCGCCAACCTTTCTTTTGCGCGAGCTTCCTCCCATTGATCCGACGGGCTTAGTCCGTCGACATTGACAATATGAGGGCTAAACCATTGCACGCACTCTATTGTCCTAGACTCACCAGGTGGTTTAGTTTCACAGTACCGGCAAGCCCATTCCGATCGTTTAGGCCTTTCTCGTAGGCCGTTCGCAAACCGAAGAGTTCCTTCAACCAGCAGCGCTGAGGGTATCCAATGCAGTCGCTTCTTGGATCGTCGTTATTTTTTTGCGGATTGTTCGGGGGCCTTTTTGCCAAGGCCACCAGGCCAACCCAGAAAAAAGAGGCTTTCGCCGCCGTTCGAGTCCCGGACCTTGGGCTCGAAAACTGCCCAGGAGCTGAGCTTGCCGGCGAGGAGGGACAGGAGCGTGATGACTACTGATTGGACCCCTTGGAATGTGCAAGCCGATGTTGACCGTTTTGTTAGTCAACTCATATACTTTATGTTTTGGACCCAATACACCGACCTATAGAATCAGCCTTTGATTGCTATGGCTCCCCTTGCGACTTGGCTTTGTATCAGTATACTGGCTCAGCTCAAGCAGAAGACCCGGATTTCCCCACATACCCCCATTTGCGACCTTCAATGCGTTGTGTCCTCTCCTTTGTTGGCGGGAGGGTTTCCCTGTAGAATCAAATGGAAGCCCTGTGTGTGTGTGTGTATTGTTTTGGAGGGCACCCTTTTTGCGGCTTAACGAGAAGCTAGAGGGAACACCGAAGCCATTTTGGGGGGGTCCGGGTCCCCTAAAAAGAGACACCCCAGTTGTCCATTTAAGAACTCCGCTGACCACGAAACAAGTGCCGATTGCTTTTCCCCATGCAAAGTGACTGGGAGTCTCCTTGGGCTTTCAACTAGCTTAGGAGAGTAGGAGACTATCCCCAAGTACCCCAACTATATCCAAATATGGTTATGTATATATATGGCAGTGAATTTTTTTGAGGGGTCTGTAACAGAGCCGCGGCGGACATTCGTTACAGACCTCGTTACAGACCTCTGTAACAAGACCAGCTGGCTCGTTACACACCCCTCGTTACACACCCCTCGTGGCACACCCTCGTTACACACCCTCGTTACACACCTCAGATGAACAAACCGGGCCAGTGACATGACTGCCCTCTTTTTGCCGCAGCCTGGCTTGTGTTGAATAGCTGCAATCAAGCTGGAGCTGCGGAGGCGTGCTTTGCGTGCTGCGCTTTGCTTTGCCTTGTTACAGACCTCGTTACATAGTCGTTACATACCTTGTTGCAGACCCAACCCCAGCCCGGGCCAGCGCCCCCCCTTTTTGCCGCAGCTTGGCTTGCGTTGAATAGCTGGTGCTGCGGAGGCGCGCTTTGCGTACTGCGCTTTGCTTTGCCTCGTTACAGACCTCGTTACACAGCCGTTACATACCTCGTTACAGACCCAACCCCAGCCCTGGCCAGCGCCCCTTCTTTTCGCCGCAGCTTGGGTGCGTTGAATAGCTGGTGCTGCGGAGGCGCGCTTTGCATACTGCGCTTTGCTTTGCCTCGTTACAGACCTCGTTACACAGCCGTTACATACCTCGTTACAGACCCAACCCTAGCCCGGGCCAGCGCCCCCCCTTTTTGCCGCAGCTTGGCCTGCGTTGAATAGCTGGTGCTGCGGAGGCGCGCTTTGCGTACTGCGCTTTGCTTTGCCTCGTTACAGACCTGGTTACATAGCCGTCACACACCTCGTTACAGACCCAACCCCAGCCCGGGCCAGCGAGCGACCCTGCTTTTTGCCGCAGCTTGGCTTGCATTGATGCGCTCCTGATTCTGCTTGTCAGGATTTTTTCCCGTGACAGACCTGCGTAACAAGGACCTCCGTTACAGACCTCCGTAACAAGATTCGTGCCGCGTCGCGCGTTACAGACCCCTAAAAAAATTCATAGCCATATATATATCTCCTACTTAAACTACTCATCTTCCTCAGCTCTTGGACTTTGATCACGTTTCGGGCTGGCACCATTTTGGTACACCAGAAGTTCCTGGTCGCTTTTTGCGTGCAATCCACTGCTTCGAAGAGGCGAAGAGCGCAATCGCCAGGAGCTGCTGGATCCCCGGGGCGCGGCGGCTGCAGAGAAGCTCCAGCTGGCGGCGAGGAGTGGGGAGATCCAAGGCGCGACTCGCCACTCGAGACGGCTTCATGGTTGTTGGGAAACATTTTGCATTTTTACTTATTGTGCTTTGGTGGGAAATCCCCACCTAACTGCTGAACTCCGCATTGTTGCTCCCCCTTCCAACGTCAGCCTCTTTGGACTTGGACCCAAAGGGAGAACCAGGGATTGTCGCCTTTCTAACGGAGCAAGGGACAGGTCCCTTTTACCCACAAGCTTTGACCCACAAGCATCACAGGGGTCCTGACGGCGACTCAGTTTAGGCAAAATCCCTAATAGGCGCATGCCCAAATACTCTTCAATTTCGGAGGGGGCAAATTTGAAAGTCGACCCCAACCTCTGGAGGACTGGGGTTCTTTTTGGCCCATGGAATCAATTTCGCACGACGCAAAAAAAGTACTATGTGGATAAACCACCTACAAGTGAGCTGGTGCAGGATTTCGTCCATCCTGAGTAAGCCCTAACAGAGATTTGGATGGCGGGTTTCCCGTTTCTCAGGTTCTATAGAAATCCATGTCAAAGGGAAGGTTGAATTTGCCGCTTCCTTGAAAAGAGAGGTTCCCTTCAACCTCTTTTAGAAGACATACTGGTCCGCCATGTGATTGCTCCCATTGATGCAAGTGAGCCAACCAGATCTGACCAGAAAGCCGGCAAAATTGGCGGTTTGCCTTTTTTCCCGCCTTATTTGTTTGTATATATCCCTTTTCTAGGGCAAGGGCAAGTTTCTGGTTTAAGAACGGATTGTATCTTTGTTTCCAGAAAGCCACAAAAACGGATGAACAGGACTCACCCGGTCTCTTTGACTTCGATTCTTATCACCAGGCGCTTGGCATACTCCACAAGACCCCGGTAGATGAAGCTTGAGGGATAGTCCCAGCCATGGATGGTCCCGGGACCACCATTTTACGAGTTTAACTCCGACCCGTTTTGAGTATGACTCCTCGGTGTTTCCTTGGGTACTACCCGAAACCGCACTGTCTTTTGCGCACTGTTGCCGGGATCTAAGAAACATGTAACCCCGAGCTTCTTTTTGGGGAGGTTTTCCGTCCGGCAGTGTCCGGACAAATCCATACACCAACCTCAACCCTTGGCTGAGTGTATGGAAGGTGGGGCGTAATTACTCCACATGTTCATGGATTTTGGTGGTGCTCTCAATGAGATTCCCACATGGCTGTGGGTCAAAAAAGTGGTACCCATTGTCTGGCTCCTTGAATAGAAACAAAGACCAACACCTGCGTAGCCGCAGCTTTTTCATTTTGAGCCACACCTCAGGCAGAGCTGAGCAACAAAAACCCCACCAGGTTTGTTTGGGTTCAGCGCTTCGCTTGGAGCGGGGAGCAAAATTCGCAGGCCCCGTGGCCTTGGTGGACATCTCCAAGGCCCGGGGCTCGGAGCTCCTCGCGGTCTTCGAGCAGATCCTGCGCCAAGAAGGCGGAACCGGTCGACCTCCTGGTTTCACGTGGTTGCTCGTGGTTCCACGTGGTTTCCGTTGTGGAGAGTGGGATTTTTTAGGTTGGGTTTTCTACAAAGCAGTTGTTCAAGGGCTTCTCGCTGGGGAAGCAGCTGGGGTCAGTGCCGATTCTTGTTCCGCGATGGCGACTGGGGGTCTAGGGTTCTTGGATGGAGGGGGCTATTTTGAACACACATCCAAATCGTAGCCTTTGAGACCCCGTGAGTTGGGAAAAATGTGGATGGACAAAATGTTCCTTGGATGGATGAACTGGTTGATACACCACCAACTGGCCTCTGCGTATCTTTTTTTAGGGGACCCCCCCCCTCAAAATGGCATCGATTTCCTCTTTGGTTTCCCTTTAAACAACCCCCAAAAAGGGTACCCTCAAAAAACACAGCCATAGCATTCTGTCCATCCTCACCTCCACACCTCTAGGACCCAATGCAATGAATTCCAGGTCTGCGAGTTTTTGGGGGCCAAAAGACTTTGGTACAGAAAGGGTTTTGCCCAAATCCGCTGTTTGTCAAGGGTATGATGTGATCCTCTGGCGAGAAAAGGAGGCATTTAGAAGAAACCAGGTTGTTTCCCAATCATGCCTCAAATATGGGGGTGTTTGGGGGTAGCTTGAGGTGTCGAGACGCGGCGATACGTCAAGCCCACCTTCTCGCGGCCCTGTCCGAGCGACCTGCGAAAGCGCATCAGCGCTGAGTGTCGCTCTGCCATTTTGGGCCTGGCCGACTGAGGTTCATGCACGAGCCTTGGAGCCAATAGGCCAATTGCGGTCCCCGAACCCCTGCAATGAAAAGCCCAATGATGCTGAGGGCAGCGTTTTTCTCTTTTTTTTGTTCTTTTCTTTTTCAGTTGTTCGTCTTGGCTGCTGTTAGGTTGGATGTTTGTACTTTAACTTGTTGAGCAACTTTGATTGTTCCACTAGACCATCTTAGAGAAGAGGGGTCTGTCATAAACTGGAACCCTCGTTTTGGGGGTATTTACTGAAAACCAGGTTTTCCATGATAACTATCTCCATTGTTAATCAGGGGTTGACATTATATCCCAAACTCTCTGGAGGGTGGGATGCCATGGGAGGCTGTGTTTTTCCATTCAAGTGCTTCCTTCTGTGTCACGTCCCTCCGAACATATATGGTTTTTCGAGTTTAGGGGTGTTGGTTGTTTTTGTTGGGGGGGTCCTTTGAAGTCAAGGACCACAAGTTTCGTGGTTGTTGACCTTTGTCCTTCTGTTCATTGTTTGGATCGGGTTTGGGGAAGTGCTTTCCGTTGGCAGAACCCAGGCATCCAGACAGAGTTGTCCCTTTGTTCGACCTTTCTTAGCAGTGCCGCGGCAGTTCCTTCCTTCCTTCCTCTTTGCCATCCTCTTAAGGCGTTCCCTGAGTTTCAGGATATCGGAACTGAAGTCGCGAAAGACGAACGACGTGGGGAACGGGACCTTCCCTTTTGTTAGGGGTTTGGAGGGGGCGTTTCCTTTGAACTCACGCACCAACAGCTTGGAGTCTGTTTGTTTGGGTCCTGGACCCAGTGGGATTGCAAAACGTCAGACTTGACAGTCGCTTAGGTTTCAAACTGGAGTGCTTTGGCTTTTGGCCTCTCTGATTTGTGATTTTGTGTTTTGGTTCATTTCTAAAGCCCTGCATCGTCCATGTCCATGATTCCCCCTAGTTGGAAGCTTTTCCAGACGCTCTATTCAACCCGAGAAGTAACAGGTCCCACTTTACCAGCGAGTGGGAGACATGGAGCACATCAGGGACCCTACGCAGGTTCTTAAGGGTTCCAGCTTGCAGCGCGGACAAGCAAATGTTTGTAGCATCCGACAAGCAAATGTTTGAACCACACAGGGGGTGTCACCCAAACAGGATCCCCCTACGAGCCTTAGGGCCTTGGATCCCCGATCCCGACATCCGGACCGAAGCGGAGAAAGTGAGGACCTGCATCATCCACGATGCAGCGTCTCTGGAATCCGCTGGCTTGCCCTCCGTGGCAGTTGTGTCCAGCGCCTTCGCCAAGCAGTCCCACTACCAGGCCACGAATAGGTGCCAGGTGCCAGGGTGCTCACATGGTTTCACCTCAAGAGGGCGTGTTCTGATGTAACTCCCATCCCCTTGAAGGGGCGGGTCCCGGGTGTCATGAACCCCATGGAGAACCCAAATCGCGACCACCTTGCAGAATCCTTTCCGATTCAGATTCACGCCTTCCCTTCCCTGTAAACCCAAGGAAGAAGACAAATTACACCAGCCTCGACCCCAAACAGCAAAAAAGCATGACCAGTCTGTATAGCCCAAAAAAAGGCTTGTCTCCTTCATGTAAGGTGGGACCTTTTGTAGCTTATGTGAGCAACGCATAATTACAATCAGTCCATGTATGTCCCTGCAGGAAGTCCCTTTTTTTGGGATGAGGACACATCGGGTCCATCCATCTCCTTGACGCCGGGTAAAAGCATCGATGTTGTTCATCAACTTCGAGGAGCAAATTTAGCCGCCGTTGGCGTGTTCCGCCGGCCACCCGGCTGAAGCAGGGGGGGGGAAAGGGATGCTGCCACTGCGTGAGGAATCTTGCGGCGTGGCTGGATGCAACGTGTGGCTCTCACGCTTCTTTTCCTGTCTTGTACACCCCGTAACCAGCCGGTCTCACTTTGGCCTTGGTCCGGTCTCAGCACTCCCTTGCAGCTGCAGCCCGAGCAACTTGCCCATGTCTGACCTTCCATTTCACCCAGATGATGCTATTGGTGTCTCATTAGAAGGAATTCTGGCGGCGACTGTCAGTCCCGCGTGTGGCACGGCTGAGGCACGGAGCCACGTCGAGCTCAATGCAGCAGAACTCCAGAAGATGGCCGCCGAGCGGTTAGAAAAAAGGGCTGCCCGAGGAAGGCAAAGGCAAGAAACCAGGTGCTTGGAAATCAGAGAAGTAACCGCAGAAATGAAATGTTTGTTGGCAACCTGAGGATGCTGGTGGAGCTGGACGTGGCTCCGGGCCTCAGCCGTGCCACACACGGGAGTGACAGTTGCCGCCAGACTTCCTTCTAATGAGACACCAATAGCATCATCTGTGTGAAATTGAAGGTCAGACATGGGCAAGTTGCTCGGGCTGCAGCTGCAAGGGAGTGCTGAGACCGGACCAAGGCCAAAGTGAGACCGGCTGGCTGCGGGGTGTACAAGACAGGAAAAGAAGCGTGAGAGCCACACGTTGCATCCAGCCACGCCGCAAGAGCATAGTAAAATGAGTCGAAAAAAAAACCCGTTGTATGTGTCAATGTAAGGCATGATCCCAGGTCTTTTGGACCTATCAAATTAGCTGCACCGCCGCTTGTAATTTGAATGGCAGGAGTGTGTTGCAGGAGCGGCCGCGCAAGTGAAACATGGGGCCGCGCAAGTAAAGCGCAAGTGAAGCGCAAGTGACGCAGTGATGATCATCATCATCATCATCATCATCATCATCATCATCATCATCATCATCATCATCATCATCCGCATGGTCGAAAGAATCCGGAAGATTGCTAAATTTTCGCGCAAGTCGCGCGCAAGTCGCGCGCAAGTCGCGCGCAAGTCGTAGATGCCTTGGATCAGGAGTGGCCCATTTCTGTAGTTTGAATTTTCTTTGTTTCTGCAGATCCCAGCAATGAGTTGCAGCAGCAGCCAGCAGCAGCAGCAGCAGCAGCCAGCAGCAGCCAGCAGCCAGCAGCAGCAGCAGCAGCCAGCAGCAGCAGCAGCAGCCAGCAGCAGCAGCAGCAGCAGCAGCAGCAGCCAGCAGCAGCAGCCAGCAACAATTTGCAGCTGTGTACACACCTGAGACCTCATACACTTAAGGGGCATGTTTTTGGGGGACCTCACTCTTATGAAGACCGCCGCTTGGATTTGCAATGAAAACATCCTGGGATAAGAGTTTTAATACGGTTTTTTTTCCAGCTCAAATGAAGGAGGGTGTTTTGAAGGTTAGATCTTCTCCGCTCTCCGAGCTATCTGCCTCGGCCACAGCACGAACAAAGACATCCAGAACGCAGGAGCAGCGAGGGTAGGTTCAATGTCCGCTCTCCGCGGGTTTGCCGAGGGAGATGCCCTTGCGCAACCACTAAAGAGACACTATAGCCTCTGACAGGAAAGAGAAAGCAAGACAGAGAAGATATGGAGAAGGGCCGGGAGGACCGACAGTAACCCGTCGCAGTGGACAACACGCGGCAACGACAGCGCGGACAACAACAGCCAGAACCCTTGAGCAGCGAGGGTACGGCCAATGTCCGCTCTCCGCGGGTTTGCCGAGGGAGCGGCCTTTGCGCACAAAAGAGAGACGATAGATGCAGATGGGAAAAAGAAAGCAAGACACAGAAGATATGGAGGGGAGGGGGAGGGGGGGGGGGTAGCAAAAATCCGTCGCAAGGGAAAGTCTAAGCAACAACAGAAACAAGAACAACAACATCCACAAGACACGCCGGCAGGCCGGCGGATTCCATGTCAATGCCATGTTCGAGAGTGAAGGCCCCCGGGGATTCGGGGTGAATCAACCTAACACCTGGCATTAGTCAAAGGAAGTTTCGAAGGAACTTTCGTAGTACGGACACTCAATGCACTTTTCCATCACCGCAGCATTTGGTGGCCGTCTTGCTACTCTGCTGAAACTTGCGCATCAGTCTCAGCAGCCTGCGGCCGAGACTGGACACATGTCACTTCTGGTTGCTATCTTCTTCTTTAGCTCGGCTAAAGGTCTTGCCACAAGCAAAGCAAGAGAGCACTTGCATAAACTTGCAGACTGCGCCTTGTAGCGCTACGGCCGGGACATCCTCGCCTAGCAACGCAGACACACGCCGCGCCAAATTGGCAAGCGTCAGCAAACGTGCCCGTTTGGCGCGCACCTCTGTCACCCGGCGCAGCTCCAGAAAATCCTCAGTGTTTGAGCCGGCAATAGCTTGGTCATCCAGGGTCTTCATCTCTGTCGCGCCCAGCGCGCCGCATGCTCCCAAGATGGCCAACGCATGGCTTTGCTCCATGCGCCCAACGCCGCTCCATTCCGGAACAAGCTTGGCTTTGAATGTCAGCTCCAGCCCTGCTCCATCGCGGAAACGTGTGAGAACTTTGCCCCAACCTACCAATGCTGGCTGCACAGTGGACACCACCAGCTTGGCTGGGTTCATCTTGGAGTTGGTGCTTATGGTTCGCAGATTGGTGTTCACATGTGTGGTGAACGACCGGCGGCCGTCATTCCAGCGCACGCCGCTGGCAACAACTTCTGGGCCTCGCGTTCACTCAGCTCCAGCAGCACAGTAATCAACTGGCCGGGTTCATGAACTCTTTCCAAGTTGTCAAGGTCAGCGAAGTAGGTTGCCAGGAGAAGGCTCCTATGCATCAACCAAGTTTTTCGAGGAGAACTCGACAAGCGCAGGGACGATGCGAACAACTCTTACAAGCTAATGGTTTGGTTGCGGACCCGACTCACACAGGCTTTACGTCCAGGACCATTCTTTCTGGAAACCGGTCAGAAAAAACCTTGGAGTCGGACCCCCCGTTACGATGCAACAAGAAGATAAGCACGCCTGCTTGACTGTGTGTTCACTAGTGCAGGTTTGCATCCTTCTGGCGCATCAGCACAGCCCAGCCAAGTGGCCGTAACTGACTGGTTTGCATCCTTGTGGCGCATCAGCAGAGCCCAGCCAAGTGGCCTTAACTGACTGGTTTGCATCCTTGTGGTGCATCAGCAGAGCCCAGCCAAGTGGCACAGGGCTTGTGTGCGGGTCAGCCACCG